TGTGTGGTCTTGATTCGGAACTTGAGTACAGACCCAAATCAAGAATAAATGAAGAAATTATTTATAATATGAACTTTAAAATGATTTATTGAAATAAATCATGAGAACAAATGATATGAATTAAATGTGAGAACCTTTTTGAATAAAGGTCAAATAAACCAATTTTGACTCTATCAAAGTCAAACACTCAAAAATATGATGTCGGAAAAAGTATTTCAAATAAATATAAAAATTATATAGTTGGATAGAATTCGACTGTCTGATCGCAAAGATGCAAACGGATTTCAATTCGGAGAATGTTGGACCAAAAAGTGTACCCCGATTGGAACCAAAATTGGTCCCAATCAAGGACACTGTATAGACTGCGCCTCCTCCTCCACTACAAGGATACGCCGATTGGAATGATACAGCAGGCTTGGAAGTTTTCCCCATCTCCTTCCTATATAAGACTACCAAAGCTTATCCATTTCTTCACCATTTCTCAAAATATTTCGTCCTATTCTGTTGCTCTGAGTGAGGAGAACGCAGTGGTGTTGTCAATTTGGTGTGAATTCGTCGGATTTGAGAGTTATACTCGCCGGAAGTTTCACCGGAATATTTCCAAAACCTCCATTAAGCTTTGAGGTAAGCCCGTAGATATATCTAATGACTAGAATGTTCATATAGGTCGTTTCTACGTTCATAAATGGTCATTTGGTTGAGTTTTGTGTTTGACATGCTTGAAGAACTAAGAATCATAAACCATGAAATTAATGTTAAAATTATGAATTAATGATGCTAAAATGATCCATGAACCTTGAAGAACATTTTTATATACTTTAATTGAAGTTTGGTGAGTAAAAGTGACATTTCCGCAAGTTGGCTCGAGGTAGAAGACGGTGGATAATCGATTATCAACTTGAAAATCGATTATTCATCGTTCTGCAGATTTTTTGAACAAAGCTGAGCAACAGTCGATTATCAGAATGTGATAATCGACTGTTAGCCCTCTCTGAAGTTTGATAATCGATTATCAGAGTGTGATAATCGATTATCAGCCAATGATCCTTCCGCAGGTTCACCTACGGAAACCTTGTTACGACTTCTCCTTCTTCTAAATGATAAGGTTCAATGGACTTCTCGCAACGTCACGGGCAGAAAACCACCCACATCACCACGATCCGAACACTTCACCGGATCATTCAATCAGTAGGAGCGACGGGTGGTGTGTACAAACGGCAGGGACGTAGTCAACGCGAGCTGATGACTCACGCTTACTAGGAATTCCTCGTTGAAGACCAACAATTGAAATGATCTATCCCCATCATGATGAAATTTCAAAGATTACCCGAACCTATCGGCCAAGGCTATACGCTCATTGAGTACATCAGTGTAGCGCGTGTGCGGCCCAGAACATCTAAGGGCATCACAGACCTGTTATTGCCTCAAACTTCTGCGGCCTAAGAGGCCGTAGTCCCTCTAAGAAGCTGCCCACGAAGGGATGCCTTCGCATAGCTAGTTAGCAGGCTGAGGTCTCGTTCGTTAACAGAATTAACCAGACAAATCGCTCCACCAACTAAGAACGACCATGCACCACCACCCACAGTTTAATGGAAGCAGGAGTTTCTCTCTCTAGGATTCTCGCACGCTGGGCAGCAACTCGAGTTACTGTTCACTGGCGATGCTAATCCTTTGCTTTGACCTTGAATTTCTTGATGTTTTGCTGCGATTCTTTGAGCCCGAGGATCGCTTGAGGCTTGGGAATCCTTTCTTGAGATCAATTTCATGATTCAGCTGCTGGATTGGGGGAAAATCGCAGGTCAACTCTCGCGTGCTACTGTTCATCGGCGGCACTTGCAGGTTGAATTCACCTCGGTTTGGGCCCTCTTCAAGGCAAATTTTTGGGGGATTATGAGCGACATGGGATGCTCTTTCATGACCATCAATTGGATCTTCATTCCATTTGAAGGAACCTGTGATTTGAGCAAATTTGGGATTCGGTGGTACTGCTCACAGCGCTGCCTTCATTTCCAGGTTTAACCATATTCCCAGCTCATTTTGTCTCCCATTTTTTGGTATTGTGATCGTGATTCAGGGGCCATTAATCATCTGTTGTTGGAGTTTTGATTCATATAACTGAATTTGGTCACCTTGATTTTGGATGCTCGAGTTACTGTTCATGTTCTTCGTTTTTTCCCTGCGGCTGTGCTTCACTGGTCTGTTATGGTGCTGGTTTTGTCATGCTCTTTGGGATAGCTGAATGTGCAGTCTACTTGAACCATTTTAGGCCTTTCCTTGGGTGAGACCGTGGCTTTGGTCATGTTGAATCCCCAGGGCTATGGCTGTTTTGACGTGGGTCTTTTGAGGACGTCTTTGGGTGGATTAGTGTGTTCTTATTCAGTTGTTTGAACAGATGAAGAACCATGCGCTTTGCCTTGAACTAGGAATCATGTTTAACTTCAAATGCTGGTCATGGTAATGGTGAAATGCTGGTCAGCTTGTGTATTGCTGTATTGAACCTGTTTCTTTTTGGTTACTTCAAATGCTTATTTGTACTTTGGCCTTGATTGGAATCTGCTGCTGGTTTGCCACTGGGGTGTGAGGGCTGGGAACATGGTTTGCCACTGGTTCTCACCTCCTCTTGAATAAGGTGCCTTGATGTTGGAACATCTTCCCTGGTATAATAGTCTTCGTGACAGTTCGACCTCTCCCTCAACCTCCTTAACACTAAACTTTGTCATACCTTACCTCATTTGCATGAGGTAGGGACTGATTTGAACCCTTGACATTTGTTGTTTGTGTGGAAGTTGATGTTGGAAGGGAGCTAGTAACCTTGTGCCTTGTTTATGCCTTGGGTATGACTGCGCCTGCTGGAAGGATTACCTGTTCAACATTGCTATGGACTTTCCTGTGATTATGGGTGCTGGCTGGACAGTGGCTTTCCTGCTGCCATTGGCCTGGGCAGTAAGGCAGTAACGAAACAGCATTCCCCTGGAATTTGGATCTGTTTTGTGTATGGGCTGATTATGGTGGAGCTGCTGAATTTGGTTCGTACTAATTGTGGTGGAGCTGCTGATTTTGGGTAGTTGATGACTGACTTTGGGCGGTGGAGGACTGAATTTGGTTATTGCTGTTAGGAGAAGTTGTGAAGGACGGTTGGTCCTTAGTCACTTGTTCTTGGAGTCTTGGGGTCCCCTTTGCTTAGGGGTTTCTTAGGGCAATTCCTGGTCCATGCCTGTTTTTGATGTCCACGGCGCTTGAGTGATGCTGTTGATGATGGGGTAGTTTTGGTATGCATGATGGAGGATCTCGCTGGTTCTTGTTCTATTGTTGTGGACATCCTAGCGATACTCTTACCCGGTCAGTTGGAGGATGATTGCCAATCATTTTTATGCCGTCTTGAATGGTCAGAGCTTTCTCTGGTGATCTTGGCACTTTGTTGTCTTCCTTGACGAGGGTGGACGACATCGTGAACTCAGAACATAGCCCTCGTCGTCCCAGTTTCACTAGGACAACAGTTAGGGGATGTTGATCGTAGTGTGGACAATGGAGCATGCCCGGCCTTGGAGCTCTTTGGACTTGCTTTGGACTCGACTGTACAACAATTGGGCAGCACGTTGTGGACTCAGTTGGATTTGGTGTAGAGCTTGTGTTGGCCTGTATCTAGGAGCGGGCACTCAAAGTTCTGCCTTTCACTCCCTGTGTTGTAGAAGAGCGGTTAACCTCTTCGAAGGGAATTTTATTAGGCCTTGGTTGTAATTGTTGTTTGATGCATTGTCTTGTAATTGTTGCTGTAAATGTGGTGTACTTGTAATTTCTTAAATATGCATGTAACCATGTTGATGGTTAAGCATATAACATTGATGTACCTTTTTGATTTGGGTAATAATAATTTACATGTTACCCTTGAAAGAGCTCTCGTTCTGCTATGTTTCTGGGATCCGCTTTGCACTCATCCTCAGTAAAAGAATTTGGAATAAGGTGTGTTTGTTAAGGTATTCTTGCACTTAACGACTTCATCGATGTCATTTGCTTAACCCCGAGAATGGTTACGGATACTACCTAGACTACTACCTAAGTTTGTTGAATATATTTGGAACTTGTGTGACTTTGTTTGGGCTTGTGTGGATCTGTCCTACATCCCATTGGGAATCAAAACTATTGGGAATCCCTCACTGACTATTGCCGACCTCCTGCTGTGAATTTATGGGCATGGAATTTCTGCTAAAGTGCTCCAGAGGTGCGGTGTTGTTCTGCGTTATGGTGCTTGGTTGTTGCTACTGCTTGGCTACATTGTTATTAAACAAGTGATGTATTTTTTCTCCTTTTGGGTATTAGTTTGAACATTTGTGAGTGTTGGTTTGTTAGTTCGGAATTGTAATTTATTTGATGTAATTATTTCTGGTAGTCTAGGCTTGAAACTGTCTCATGTGCACGTAACCATTATTATGGTTAAGCATTTGACATTGATGTATTCGTTTGATTTGGGTAATAATAATTTACATGTTACCCGTTGAAAGAGCTCTCAATGAAAGAGCTCTCAATAATATACTTTGGCCGAGACTTCTTTCTGGCGACGTCGTGCTACAGTAGCCCGTCACCATTGCCATCATTTTTTGAGCTTCATCTCTTGGTGCCTCACGTTTTTGAGGGTAGATTCTTGTTCCCCGTCTCCTGGGCGACCATTTCTACTGGTGGAATTGCTCAGCCATGCCCTCGTCCGTGTAGGGTGTGTGTTGACCTTTACGGTTCACTGTTCACTGTCTTCCCCGATGCTTCTTGCGTTGCTTCTCTGAGTTGCTTCTGCTCCCATGGGTTCTGGAAAAGCCCAGAGTGCTAAGAAGGAAAAGAAGAAGCTCCCTAGGAGTCCTAAGAAGAAAAGGAGTGGAGATGATGTTATGGAGACACCTAGTCTGAATACTGACATTGCCATGGAACTACTTGAGAAGGAGAAGGCTCCAACTACTTCTTCAACGTCTGAGACATCCCCTTCGCAGTTTCACACTCTGAATTTGTTCATACTTACACATGCATGGGTTAACCTTTGAGACAAGCATATGACTACTGGCAGGATCAACAAGGTATCATTCCTCAATGCACCTTGACACGCCAAAACCGAAAGCGAACTCAACACATCATAGGCGGTCATACGGAGGGAAACACAATCACAGAAGTGAAGGTGAAGCCAATAATGAACCAGGGAACCCCTGGGACAAAATACTTAATGGGCAGAGTTACGCTAACAGAGAATTCTTAACCAGTGCCCGTTAGTGTACCAAACCCAAGTACTCAACAACAACCAATGGGCCAAAACTTTCCGGAAAAGAGACAACAGATAGTGTTCCACAAGCGGTGCCATGGCGTCAATCGAATGCCAACCCTTTGGTTCCCACACGAGCAGGCACACGACAGAACTCAGCAGTTGGAACGTAAGGATGCCACCGAAAGGGTACAGAACAAAGGAAACCATTGCAGACAAAGGCGGAACCCACCATATTGAAAAGGCTTTCACGGCAAGTTTTCGCTGCTACAGCAAGGATCAAACCTGACCATGAAAACCAAATACATCTCACACACAATTACGCATCGCAAACTTCATACACACCGCACAACCCACCAACAGACCAAAGGCCAAGTTTTTAACTCAGCAGTCAGCCNGCAGACTTAGGCTAACAGAGAATTCTTAACCAGTCCCCGTTAGTGCACCAAACCCGAGTACTCAACAACAACCAATGGGCCAAAACTTTCCGGAAAAGAGACAACAGATAGTGTACCACAAGCGGTGCCATGGCGTCAATCGAATGCCAACCCTTTGGTTCCCACACGAGCAGGCACACGACAGAACTCAGCAGTTGGAACGTAAGGATGCCACCGAAAGGGTACAGAACAAAGGAAACCATTGCAGACAAAGGCGGAACCCACCATATTGAAAAGGCTTTCACGGCAAGTTTTCGCTGCTACAGCAAGGATCAAACCTGACCATGAAAACCAAATACATCTCACACACTATTAAGCATCGCAAACTTCATACACACCGCACAACCCACCAACAGACCAAAGGCCAAGTTTTTAACTCAGCAGTCAGCGAACCAGCGAATGCCTGGTGCCCATGACAGTCGCGTCGATGAGTGCCATGCAAGACCGAAGAGAATCGTAGCCAACCGTCCCACCCACTTAGAGCCAACCTAAAACCGACTACATTAGCCCCCGACGCCTTGTCCTTCCACCTGGGTGGGTGCAATGGAAGAACCAAACGCCGAAAGGGAAGGAACTAAAGCAGGGCCAACACACCTAACATCGGCACACCGAGCCAAATTAACAAAATTTGGCTAACCGAAATCCAACCATCTGTGAGTCGACTTAGCGAGGACGAACTGGCCAACCATCCCCGTTCGAAATGCAGGCATCCCAACAACCGGCATTTCGAAGGCCAACAAAACCGTAGCCAACCGTCCCACCCACTTATAGACACCATAAAACCGACTGCATTAGCCCCCGACGCCTGGTCCTTCCACCTGGGTGGGTGGAATGGAAGAACCAAACGCCGGAGGGGAAGGAGCTAGTGCAGGGCCAACACACCTAACATCGGCAAAGCCAAATTAAAGAAATTTGGCTAACCGAAATCCAACCTTCCGAGAGTCGACTCAGCGAGGACGAAATAGCCAACCATCCCTGTTCGAATTGCCGGCATCCCAACAACCGGCATTTCGAAGCCAACAAAACCGTAGCCAACCGTCCCACCCACTTAGAGCCACCATAAAACCGACTGCTTTAGCCCCGACGACTAGTCCATCCACCTGGGTGGGTGTAATGGAAAAACCAAACGCCGAAAGGGAAGGAGCTAAAGTAGGGCCGACACACCTAACATCGGCACCGAGCCAAATTAAAGAAATTTGGCTAACCGAAATCCAACCTTCCGAGAGTCGACTCAGCGAGGACGAAATAGCCAACCATCCCTGTTTGAAATGCCGGCATCCCAACAACCGGCATTTCAAAGCCAACAAAACCGTAGCCAACCGTCCCACCCACTTAGAGCCACCATAAAACCGACTACACTAGCCCCCGACGCCTGGTCCTTCCACTCAGAGTGTCAGCCCCACAAGGACATCCCAATCATCCTCGCTTGAAATGCCGGCATCCCAACAACCAGCATTTCGGGGGCCAACAAACCGATGCCCAACACCGATTCCCACCGCCAACTTGAACTGCATTAGCTCTGGCGTGCGTTCTTGTTGCTAGTGGGTGGGACACTAGCTGAACGAGGCGCCAAGGGAGGGTGTGAGCTAAAGCAGGGCCTAGTAAGGGCAAAAACCAGGCCTTTTAAAACCGACCAAAAAAACCTTCAGGGACCATACCCCCCCTATATATGCTTAAAAAACATAAACCCAAGTTACAGCAGTAGATACGATTTTGCTGTAGAGTCACACTCACCAAACAGGCCCCAAATTCAAACACCAAGCCAATTCCTTGTCACAGCCCGTAACCAAACATCATTCTTAGATCATAATGATATGCAAAACA